CCACCACCACCACCACCACCACTCCTCCCCCCTCCGCCATCGCATGTCCTCGTCCATCGCATCTCCACCGCCACAGCTCTGCGGCGGCATGACCCTCGGCGCCGCCCAGCCCTTGCAAAGCGGCACTGGCACTTTCCACCACCACCACCATCACCACGCTCCACAACCCCAGCCCCAGCCCCAGCAGGCATCAGCACTACCAGCACTCGCGCCAGCTCCTCTCCCACCCCCCCTCCCGCACGCAAACCGCTCGTGGAAGAGCGTCTTCAAAGGCGGCAAAAAGTCAAAGCATAGACAAATGTCAGACGACAACGTCACTCCCCCCTCCATCCCAGAACTAGAGGTTCAGCAGCCCTTTGGCCTCGAGTCGGAAATCCAAGCTGCCTTTGCCCATCTTGGCCCGACGTCGACCTCGTCTTCGGTTGCAGCGGCGGCAGGAGTTGACCACCACACGGCTGCGCCCGGCGCTAGCACCCCAGCAGCCCACGCATTCTCCAACGCCGCATCCTCCTCCACGGCCGTTACCGAGCAACTCGACGACACACATCTCCCGTCGCGTGGCGTCAACTCGGACTCGAGCTACGTCCGCGTCGGCAGTACTAGCAGCCCCGGCACGTCGCCATTCCCGCCCAGCGCGTATCCAGCCGAACCGTGGGCCTCGCCAGCCCCCCACCCACCCCTCGCGCCGACGTCCTCGGGCGAACAGCGCCCAGCCTCAAACGCTTTCTCGTTTTCCAACACGGAGCGATCATCATCGTCGTCCAGGTCACGAGGCCCCGTTCCGGGCTCCTCCCCGGGTTTGCCCCCTGCCCTTGTCACTACTCCTTCCACCACGTCCCTCCACAGCTCAAACGGCGGCGCTGCTAGCTCCGGCCGTCCCCAGATCATGAGCTCTCTCAAGGGCCGCTTTTTCTCGTCTCCCGCCACCAACAGCAGCGTCAGCGTCGCCACAGCCGGTTTTGGCACCGACACGTCCGTGGGCAGCAAGTCGGACAAGTACAAGGGTCTCTCCAAGAAGCCTGCCGGGCTGTCCATCAACGCCAATGTCAAGGACTCTCGCGTCTCCAGTACTTCGCCACGGACCCCGCGCAAGACCAAGCGGGACCCTTCGGGGCAACGGCCGGATGACAATGCCCAGCAGCGGAATACCAATAACGACAAGTCGTCGGCTGCAAGCCGCTTCATTCGCCGTGTCGTATCTGCCCCGAATGCAAAGGCGCTCTTCCACAAGGGGTCTGCGTCCGACGTGCCAGATGTGCCCCCCTTGCCCTCAAAGACGCCCACAACCAGCTCGAGTAATGACACTGCAGTCGATCTCACAGTTTCGCCTCCCATCCCGCCCCTGCCCAAGATGCCCTCCATGTCGTCAAGACCTACGACGCCGTCCAGAAGCTCGACCCCATCGTCGTTCCTCAAGCCAGGCAACTTGTCTGCCACCGGTACCCGTGGCTCCCGCGCCCACTCTACCAGCGTGATGGCGATCAAGAAGCACTCTGCCGTGGTCGAGGATCCGGCCCGTGCTGCCTTCCGCAGGACATATAGCTCCAACTCGATCAAGACGCGCGCTGCCGAAGTCTCCGCGTCGTCGTTTGAGAAGATCAAGCTCCTCGGCAAGGGTGACGTCGGCAAGGTCTATCTCGTCCGTGAGAAGAAGTCGGGCTCGCTATTCGCCATGAAGGTGCTGTCGAAGAAGGAGATGATCAAGCGCAACAAAATCAAAAGAGCTCTCGCCGAGCAAGAGATCCTGACCATGTCCAACCACCCCTTCATCGTTACTCTCTTCCATTCGTTCCAGTCAAACGACTACCTATTCTTCGTGCTCGACTACTGCATGGGCGGCGAGTTTTTCCGCGCCCTCCAGACACGCCCCGGCAAGTGCCTCCAGGAGGACCATGCAAAGTTCTACGCCGCCGAGGTCATTGCCGCCCTCGAGTACCTCCACCTCAACGGATACATCTACCGCGATCTCAAGCCCGAGAACATCTTGCTGCACCAGAGCGGCCACATTATGCTGTCCGACTTTGATCTGTCCAAGCCCTCGGGTGAGCCGGGCGGTGCCGCTGCGGCTGTGCAGACGGGCGCGAACGGCGTCATTCTTGTCGATACGCGTAGCTGTATTGCCGACTTCCGCACAAATTCGTTTGTCGGAACAGAGGGTGAGTTTGGCGGTGGCTTCACGTCGAGCGGGATCTCGGACGCTACTGACATGCAGAATACATCGCCCCCGAGGTGATAAAGGGCTGCGGCCACACGTCGGCGGTCGACTGGTGGACCTTGGGCATTCTCGTGTACGAGATGATTGTGAGTTTGTCATGGCGGCTTTGGATCGGACTGCATCCCTAACTCGCACAGTTCGCCACCACGCCGTTCAAGGGCGCCAACCGAAACACGACGTTCTCTAATGTGTTGAAGAACGAGGTCCTCTTCCCCGAGGACCGCCCCGTCACAAGCCTGTGCAAGTCGGCGATCCGCAAGCTGCTCATCAAGGACGAGCACAAGCGTCTCGGCTCGCAGTCGGGCGCGTCAGAAGTCAAGCAGCACAAGTGGTTCTCGTCCATCTCGTGGGGCCTGCTGCGGCACATGACGCCGCCCATCATCCCCGCCGAGTCGAACGGCATCGACGCCGTCAACTTCCGCACGATCCGCGACTCGAAGAGCATCGACTTCCTCGACGAGACGGACATCATCCACGGCCAAGCCGGCAGCCTGTCCGCGGCGGCCGGCACGCCGGGCATGCTCACGCCCAAGGAGCTGGCCGAACCCGAAAAGAATCCGTTCAACGAGTTCTCCAGCGTCACCCGCGACTTCACCGACGGCTACTAGCAGGCATTAGCGAGCCCAGCTGCGCTGGTCGTCGGTTGGTATCATTAGGAGCACGAGCACGAGCTCACTTTGTTGTAGACTATTTCTAGACTGCTTTCTCGCCATGGAGGATGTAGGGACCACTCGAGTGCGAGGCGCGAGGGCGTGGGCATGTGGGCATGTGGGCGGTGCATGATGCTGGCTGTGGACATGTATGAGCGTGCGAGCGAGAGCGGCTGAGCAATGCAGCGATGCGTTGAGTGATTCAATTCGGGGCTTGTGACATCCTGGACGGGACGCGTGCAGTGAGATTGAGGCACGAGATATTCCAACGCAACAAGGTCTCTCTTCAACATCTCTCTTTCTCTTCATCCTCCATCTCTACCTCACTCTCTCCCCTCGACTCCTCAGCCGCATCCCGCCAACTCACACCCCAGGCGGCACCAGCATGGACGAGCACCCAAGCTTCAGCCGCCTCGCGCTGGCCGCCGCCCTCCTCGAATACGACAACGACATCGACGACCCATACAAGGAATATGTCGACCACCGCACCTCAGCCATCTTCCGCCAGTTTACGCAGCAGCGCCGCGCGCCCTCTCTGCCCCCGCTCCAGATCCAGCGGGGGCAGGGCTTCGCCGGCGTCGGTGCAGGCAAAGGCGCCGCCCTCCCCCTGCCGCCCGTGAGCGCCGCGCGCTCCTCCTTCTCCGCGCACTCAGGCGACATGCCCCCCGACATTCCGGCCGACACCAACATCGACCTCGACGACTGGGACCTCCCTGCGCACATGGTGAGCGACGATGCCCGGCGCGCCCGCGACCGCGACCGCGAGCGCGCGCACGACTCGCCCGCCTCCCCGGCCCTCCCGTCCGGCTCCCAGCCCGTGTCCCCAGGCTCTTACTTCACCCCCATCCCCGGAGCGCCCGACTATCCTCCCCCGTCCCCGGCCTTTGCGTCTCCCACGTATGCGCCGGCATCGCCGCGTGACGCAGCGTCCGTGGCAGAAGCACACGGCGCGTCCGCGCGCGCAGGACACGGCCGCACCATTTCCCAGGTCTCTAACCCCGTCCACCGCCCGCGCTCTGTGCATCTCGAAAGCATCGGGGACGACACACAGGAGTTTATGGACGATATGCCGGGCCGGCGCAGCCTCGACGCATATGGCGCTGAAGCGGATGCGGCGGTGCGTGAGCGGGAGCGTGATACGAAGTCTAGACGCAGTGCGGATTCGCACAACCGGCGCGGATCGATTCTCGGCCACCTCTCCCTCGAAGACGACTATGGGCGGCCCGCGGCGCCCATCATGGTCCGCCTCCCGGACTCGCCCAAGAGCGCGCGGATTGGACGCCCGGGTCCGCGCTCGACAGGCTTGGCGATGGACGAGCAGGATATACTTGCCAACGCATTCGAAATGCCTGGCCCACCCCCCGAGCTCGGGGCGCGCTTCACGCCTGGCGACCCGCGCCGGCTCAGCCTCGATCTCTCCCAGATCGAGAGCCGCAGCGATAGCGGGCAGCCCACGCGCCGCCCCTCGCTCGTCTATCTCGGCGACCGCGCGCCGAGCGTGACCAGCGGACGCGCCTCGTTCTACGGTCCAGGGAGCGAGGTGGATATCGGCTCGCCGTCGCGGCCCGTGTTCGATGACATTCCCTCTGCCGAGGAATACGGCCGCCCCCTCCGCCCCCCAAAGTACAACAACCAGGCGTTCCCCATGGCACGGCACCAGCTGCTGCGGCCCAAGACGCTCATCATGCCGAGCGCACTCGAAGGCACCGAGCGGCCCACGGCCACCGTGCACATCCCCGAGGGCTTTACGCTCGGCGAAAAGCCGCTGCCAGAGGACGCGCGCGCCAGTATCCTGAACCAGGGCAAGGGCGTGCCGCTCTCGCTCGCGCAGCGGACGTTCGCGAGCTCGCTCATGGTCGGCGGGCACCGCGACGACGAGTTCTTCCAGGGCACGGCGGCTGAGGGCGAGGTCATCCCCGGCATAACGGAGGAGGAGCGGCACGCGGCCGAGGCAGAGCGGCGCCAGCCGGGCAAGCTGTACGGCACGAGTCTGATCGACCAGCTCGAGGCGCGCAAGACGGCGCTGTCGAATAGGAAGCGCGTGTTTTACGGCGACAACCGGCCGTCGATGATGGCGCGCTCGACGACGCAGTCGACGCTCCTCGCCCCTCCTGGGCCGGCGCCGACGCTGGCCCAAGGGCCGCCGGAAGGCGAGGTCGGCGTGCGGCCCATGTCGTATGCGCCGGGCGGCGGCAGCCGCCCCCTGTCGATGGCGGTGCAGCCGCGGCCGAAGAGCTATGCGCCGGGCGTGCCGGTGCTCAACCTCCCCGAGGACGACGAAGAGGGCGACATCGGAACGGCGAACCGGGCGCGCAACGCGCGCTCCGTCTTCGGGCCGGACATGGTGTGGGAGCGCGAGATGGCAAAGTTGAAAGAGCTGCAGGCGGCGCAAGCGCGCGCGACCGAAGAGGCGGATGCGCGCGAGCGCGCCAAAGCGGACGCGAAGCAGGCCAAGCTCGCCGCGCGCGAGAGCAAGATGTACCACGCGGCGCAGCGCAAGTCGATCTTCGGCGTGGGCGTGGGCAGCGGCTCGTCGCGCAAGAGCATGCTCAACCCCGACTTCGTGCCGGACAACGACCCGAATTTCGTGCGGCCCAAGAGCATTGCGTTCGGCCCTGGCGGCGTCATCATCCCCACGGATACAGGGGACGAGAGCGACGACGAGGGCGAGAGCGAGAGCGAGCGCGAGCCGACGAGAGAGCGCGTATACGAGCGGCCACAGAGCACGTTCTCCGACCGGCCCCCCACGCTCGTGCTGGCTGGCGACGGCGGTGTCCGGGGGAGCCGCCTCGGCGTCGAGACGTGGTTCGCCGACAGCGACGAGGACGAGCCGCTGAGCCGGCGGCGCGCGCCGGCCCCGCAAACGGTGCTGGCGCCTCGGGACTCGGGCTACGAGTCTGACTCGGAAGAGGATGTGCCGCTGTCCCGGCTCAAAGTCGCCGACTCGGACGAGGAGGTCCCGCTCTCGCAGCTGCGCAAGGGCGCCGCCGGCGCTGGCGCGGCGGGCGCGCCAACTGCTGCCACTACCCTGCCCGCTTTCGACTTTGACTCGCCGCGCGCGACACCGCCCGAGAGCCCGCCGATCGGCGCGTCAGCCGGGCTCAGCGGCGACGAAGACGAGGACGAGGACGACGTGCCCCTCTTCGTGCGCAAGGCGCGGCAGCGCGCCAGCCAGCCCAAGACCAAGGAGGAGATCGAGGACGACCTTCCGTTGGGATGGAAGCATGCCGGCGGAGGCGGGAGAGCTGCCCAGACCCCGAGCCAGGCGCACCCGCAGCCGCCGTTCACGCAGAGCTACTACGGCATGCCTTATTCGCCGTACGGCGTGCCCAGCCCCATGGCGGGCGGCATGCTTATGGGCGGCATGATGATGCCCATGGGCCAGATGATGCCCCCGATGAGCCCGATGGGGATGGTGCCCCCGCACCCCGACATGCCGAATCCAGGCAGCAACATCGACCGGTGGCGGCAGAACGTGAGCGGACGCGCGGGGAGTGTGGCGGGCAGCGCGCCGAGCCAGATAGGGCGGTAGGGAGCGAACACGACCCCGAGATGGCGCCTGCCCGAGCTGCTGCGCGCACAGCATGCATTCCGCGCTAGCCCAGGCCAAGGCGGCCACCGCACCGCACCGCACAGCGCAGCCAATCTCAGACATGACCGCAGATACGACCGTAACGATAGATAGGACATTAGCATTGCATGTGATGTGAATGGATGGCGCGGGCGGGTTGCTGCGGAGCGGAGGAGGCGGAGAGAGGAGAGCGAGATCCGGGGGTCTCGGTTGAGGTGTGGCACGTCGGCGCGTGAGGGAACTTGACGACGCTCTCCACGTTGGCATTTCTCCTCTTTCCTCCTCTTTCCGTGTTCCAACTACTCTCCATCGCTCTCCATCTCATCGCGCACCCTCATCGCGCCCTCCTCCCGCCGCCGCTGTTCATTAGCATACCCTCCACACCCTCCCGTCTCCCGCCGCCACCAATTCATTACCCTCTGCCAAGCCCCAAAATCCCCGAGACCTCTCAAGGCCCGTCGATCGCCGGGCTCGACGACACCTTGACGACGCGGCGTCTCTCTCACCACCATGTCCTACGACAACTACGACTCGGAGAAGCTGGCCGCGATGGGATTCGGGCCTTCGTCACCGACGCACGCGTCGACGCGCTTCGACGCCGAAGCCGGGAGCGGGCTGTCGGCGTCGGCAGGCGCCGCGCGCACCCTGCGGCGACACATGACACGGCGTGCCCGCCTCATCCTCCTCGGCGCCGGCGCGCTCGCCCTCGTCTTCTACATGATGGGGCCGGGCGACGCCGCGCCCCCGCCCGCGCTCTCGAAGAGCAAGCCGACGCGGCCGGGCACGCGGCCCGGCGCGCCCGCGCCCGACAAGCTCAAGCGGCCGGGCGGCGCGCGCCCGGCGCCCGCACCGCCCCCGAACCTCGAAGTCGACATGGTGCACGACGCCGACCACCCCGACTACTTTGTCCTCGACGAGAACGGGGACCGCTTCCTCCCCAACGTCAAGCAGGTGTATGCGCCGCTGCATCCCGACGAGGGCGACTACCGGTCGCCCGAGCGCCTGTTCTCCGACTTTGACGAGGACATGCTCGCGCCGCCGGTTACGGAGCCGTTCCCCGCCAGCCGCATGCGCGAGATCGTGTCCGACCCGCCGAGCGAGGACGAGAGCGTCGGCAAGAGCATCCCCCCGGGCTCGTTCAGTCTCAAGTGGAAAGGCCCGAGGGACTGGAACAAGCCTGGGCCGGGCACGAAGAAGATGCAGTGGGAGGGGTTTACGAATGGCACAGAGTATGAGACACCAGAGGAGATCGAGCTCCGCATCGCGCGCCGCAACGCCGTCAAGCGCGGCTTCATGTACGCATGGCAGAAGTACAAGGACTACGCGTGGGGCCACGACGAGGTCAAGCCGGTTACGCGGCAGGTGTCGGACCCGTTCAATGGGTGAGTGGCCTCGAGGGACGACTTTGCTGACCGCAGCTGGGGCGCATCGATCATCGACACGCTCGACACGCTGCTCATCATGGGCCTCGAGGAGGAGTACAACCACGCGCGGCCGTTCGTCAACCAGCTCAACTTCCACTGGGTCAAGGGGCGCGACTGGTCGCAGGGCTACATCTCGCCCGAGTCGGAGAAGGACAGCGACGGCGAGCGCTGGAAGATCTCCCGCGACAAGACCGTCGGCATGCAGGTGTTTGAGACGGGCATCCGATACCTCGGCGGCCTACTCGGCGCCTACGACCTGTCCGGCGACAAGCTCATGCTCGACCGTGCGGTCGACCTCGCGAAGGTGCTCAAGCGCGCCTTCAACACCGCTTCGGGCTTGCCGCAGGGCAGCCGCATCGACCCGGGGTACGAGGGCGCGCAGCAGTTGTTCGCCGTGTCAATCGCCGAGGTCGGGAGCATGTCCCTCGAACTCATCCGCTTGGGCCATGCCACAGGCGACCGGCAGTGGTTCGACCTCGCGCAGCGCGTGACTGATTTCATCGACAAGCACGTTGCGCCGCGCTCCAAGTTCCCGCCGCTCATCCCCATGCGCTTCTCGCCGGACACGGACACGCCCGTCGCAGGCACATACTCGTTCGGCGCAATGGAGGACTCGTACTACGAGTACCTGATCAAGGCGTACAAGCTGCTCGGCGGCGGCCCGCTCGGCGAGCAGTACAAGCGGCTGTACGCCAAGTCGATTGATGCGGCGCGCAAGCTCCTCTTCACGGACATTACGATCATGCCGGACCGCGACCTCTTCACGATCGGCAAGTACGAGAACGGGCAGCTCAACCACGAGGTCGAGCACCTCGCGTGCTTCGCCGGCGGCATGTTGGGCATGGGCGCGCGCTTGCTCGACCGCGAAGCCGACTTCTGGGAGGGCCAGAAGTTCACCAACACATGTTTCTGGCTCTCACAGCACATGAGCATGGGCGTGCAGCCTGAAGTCGCCCACTTTTACAAGGAGGACGATCCCGAGCTGTACATCAACATCACGAGCACGGGGCGGCGGTACCACCTGCCGCAGCGCGAGGTGATCGACGACAACAATGCCAACCACGCAAAGATGTACAAGGACTCGGGGGGCACATGGCGCTGGCGCGACGACCACTCGGCCGTCGTCGAGGACTCGGGGCGCGGCGTCGGCCTCCCCATCTCGTACTACAAGCACTTGAACGGGTCGCCGCCGGGCCTGAAGAAGATCACGCCGTACTACATCAACCGGCCCGAGACGATCGAGAGTGTGTTCTACATGTGAGTCTCCTTTCGCCTGCCGCGGCTGACGGTAGGTATCGCCTGACGGGCGACCGGAAGTGGCAGGAGAAGGGCTGGAAGATGTTCGGGGCGTGGATGGAGAACGGCATGGCCGACGCCGGCATCAGCAGCATCAAAGACGTGACCAAGCCGCAGGGCCAAGCCGAGCTCGGCGACAACATGGAGAGCTTCATCTTCGCCGAGACCTTCAAATACCACTACCTGCTGCAGAGCGAGCCCGAGCTCATCTCGCTCGACGACTACGTGCTGAACACGGAAGCGCACACGCTGATTGCGAACCAAGCGTTCGCGCCCGGCGCGAGCGGCTTGTGGACCGAGGCGCGGCAAGCGCTGGGCGAGCGCGCCCGCGGCACCGACACGCAGAAGTGGATGCGGCTCAAGGTGCTCGAGCCGCACCGCAACCGCGCCGCCGCCGGGACGCCACAGCGCGGGCGCGGCCCGCAAGGCCCCCGCCGCGGCGGCATGGGCATGGGCGGCGGCGGCGGCGACCCGAAACACAAGCCGCAGCCGCCCGGCGCCGCGTTCGCAAAGGTCAAGCCCGAGGAGGACAAGCCCAAGCCCAAGCCCAAGGCCGACGCGGACAAGCAAAAGCCCGTGAGGCCCGCCGACACCGATCCCGAGGATGACTCGTAGCATAGCATTGCATGAACATACTGTCGCGTTGCGGATCCGACCGGTCAGCACACGCCAAGTTCACGCCATCACAGACCTGGTTGTGCAGATGAAGCTTCTCATCACTTGTGGTGGCATAAAAGTGGCGACCGTCGATGGATCTGACACTCAACGCCTCCAAGTACGGATCGACAGCTCTCCCTCCCCACATCCAATTCGCATCCTCGACCGCCCACTTCCACACCACCCACTTCCACACCACCCACTCAACCTCCCCACGCGCTACGCCCCCCCATGCCACCACCCCCCGATCCCGCCGCACCTCGCGCCGGCCTCGCAACTCGCGCTCTCTGGACGCTCACGCGCGCATGGCTGCTCGTCGGCAGCTGGTGGGTGCGCAAGCTCCTCGTGTTGCGCGGCGTGCCCGGCGTGCCCCCGTCAGCCCCGTCGAGCGACGAGGGGTGAGTACATCAGTAGCAGTCATTCCGACCATAGTCCCATACCGAGCCATACCACCCATGTAAACGTAATACCCATAAACGTGATACCCATGATCAGAGAACCAATATGCTACTCCCTCTCTCTACTCCCCCCGCTCGCCGCATTCCTCCCCTCGCTCCTCCTCCCCCGTCCCCTCGTCCCGCTCAAGCACGACCCACGCCACGTCCATCGTCGCGACGTCGCCGCCCAGCGCCTCCTTCATCCCCCGTATCTCCTGGACCATACCCAGCATCTCCGCCGTCGTCCCGCGCACCCCGAAGCCCATGAGGCGCGCCATAAACCCCGGGTCCGTGACGCCCGCGACCGCGGCCCGGCCCTCGCCCATACCCTCCGGGACGGCGAGGGTGCCCTCGCGCGCGACACGCCACCCCGCGGCGCGCGCGACGCGCACAATCTCAGCCGGGCGCAGCGCCTCCCGCACGCCCGGCAGGATCGGGCCTTCGCCCTCGCCGCGCGCTTGCGCGTGGTAGAACTGGACTTGGACTTGTGCGGCGAGCGCGTGCGGCGCTTGTGCGGGCGTGCGTGCTTCGCCGGTGTATTCGGCGAGGAGGACGCGGCGGACGCGCCCGGACAGCGCGTCGAAGACGCGGCGCACCGTCGTGCGCGAGTCAAAGTACCATAGTGAATGGCAGAGGGTTGCTGCGTCAAAGGGGCGAGTGGAGGAGGAGGGGGCGGAGGAGGACGAGTCCAAAGACGCGAGGAAGGTCGGCGCGTCGGCGTGGTGGAAGGAGATGCGGGGGCCGAGGCGCGAACGCAAGATGTACGCCTGCGACGCGGAGACGCTCGGCGTGCCCGCGTCCAGGCTGCCGGGGTCGATGCCGGTCACGTGCCCGTCTGGCCCGACGGCTTCGGCGAAGGCCAGCGTGCTGTCGCCCCCGCCGCAGCCGACGTCGAGCACCGTCCAGCCCGGTTCGATGCCCCACGCCGCGGCGAGGTTGAGGCGGTGCGCGAGCTGCGGCTTGACGGTCGCGCTGAGACGCGGGTCGTGGAGGTAGCACGACGCGAGCTTGTCGAGCGCGCGTGGGGAGGTCGACATCTGCGGTCAGGGAGGGGAAGAGAGGGGTCTTACGGTAATAGTGTAGAGGCTTGAGACGAGTCGGCGCCTGAGGAGTATGACGGAAACCTAGAGGAGTTGATGATGCGAAATTGTGCGTGTGTTGAATGAGAACAACGTCGCCGCGGCCGACTCGCACGGCCTCCACATGCGGCTATGGGCGGCGCCCCGCACCAAGTTCCGCCCGGCACAATGGGAGAATGCGTGGCGAGGGACCGTGATCCGCATGCTCGTTCGATCTACTGGTAGTACATGGTCAGCAACGGTGAGCACTGTCAGCTTCAACTTATTGTCAATGTGCATTGCAGGTCAACTCACAGCGGCTCTGAACGACTTACATCTCCAAGACTTCACAGGATATGCATTCTTCTCCGGCTGGGACGAGACCGACGCAACGGAAGCTACTTCTCACACTCGCACGAGAACCACTCTGCGCTGTGCGCCCAGTGCAGGAGACTAACAATGAGGTTGGACGTGGCGCATGTGCAAACTGAACAGGGACTGTGGACGTGATGGACGCAGGGCTTGCGCGAGCTGCCATCTGAGGGGGAAGTGCTGGGCCTGGCGGCGTGGCGGTGAAGGTTCGCTGTCGAGTCCGTCTGCGTCGATGCCGACAGCATCTCCTCCTTTACCGAGAGGCGAGGAGAAGGGGGATCGGCCGCGTAGTGTGAGGCGGCCGGGGCGCCTGGAGTCGGTGCAGCGGAGATGCTCGTCGACAGGGCGCAGCGTGGAGCAGAGACACCCGCGGCTTGGGCATGCTCAGGTGGTTCAAAGGCTCGACTTTTGCTGATGCGACGCGTCGTGTTTTTGGGTAGCGGAGGAGGCTTGTGGTGGAGCGCGTCAGGTTGAGTTTTGGGAGGGTCGAAGACGAGGCTCGGCTTCTCGGGCTGTGGGGGGAGAGGCCGCTGGGCTTGCGATGTGCTTGGGGCCGCGTTGTTGAGCGAGCGTTCGGGGGGTTGCTTGGAGGCACTCTCCGCATCTTTAAGAAACTTATGCAGCGACTCGGAGATCAGCGCCGGGTCAAATCCCAATGAGAGACGGGGGGGAATCGGAGGGGCGAGGCTGAAGCCCGGAGCGTTTGCATCGTCAGTGACGGCGTCCGAAGAGGCGGGACGAGGACCTTCATACCCGTCGTGACTCGGGAGGGGCGACTGTCGCCGGCTATAGTAGTCCCAGTCCTGGCTGGGAGAGTCACGCCCGAAGCCGTTCTGATCCGCAACCGGTGTCCTTGGCGTCAAGTATTCACCCTGCCGACGGCGCTTCCGACCGTGGCGATAGGCATGCCTCGGGCTATTTCCACTGGCCTTGTCCAGCACGCGTCTCTTGCATGGAGGAGGTGCCGCGCCGTGCATGTTTCCAGTTGCGGAGCTCAAGTCAATCGTGGACCATGTGTCGCGCTTGCGCTTCGATGCCGAAGGAGACGCCTCTGTGCGACTAAAAGACTCATCGGATCTGGGGCTGCCGAGCCTCGATGGAAGAGATCTAGCGGCCATGTACGATCTCTCGCCATCTTCACCTGTCGACTCTTCCTGGGTGAGACTGGTGAACCGGCGGTTCCTGGAAGGGGGTCGATTGAGGAACCATGGCTCAGTTTGATCCTCCTCCTCGTCAATTCTAGTCCCGTCTCCTTCCTCATCGCTTTCCTCGTCCTCGTCCTCGTCCTCGTCCTCATCTTCTAGACTGTCGTCGTTGTCGTCCTTCTCATCTCTCGACTCGAAATGCGTATGGGTGCCCTTTAGAATGCTGGCGCGCCGACGCTGCCGTGATTGTTGCCGGGACAAACGATCGGCCGTTGACGCCCTCGAAGCTATCTGGATAAGGCTGCTTTCACGGCTGCTGCTATCGCCTCCGACACTGGGGGAATCGGGAGTCATGAAAGGCCGGCGGCGGCTGCTGCTGCTGCACTCGCCTTTAACAGCGGGTACCGGACTCTGGAGCGGAGGTGGGCGCTGGTTGAACCAAGTGATCTCTGGTGACGACACATGAGCATGACGCGACGGTCCTGGCGTCGCCTGCCCGTTAATTGTGGCCCACCGCGGCCCTTTCTTTGCGGGCCTCGCCTTTGTGGTGGGAGGCGGGGAAGGTGTACAAAGGTTGATTACAGCGGGTGGTGGTGTGTTCCTCTTCTTCGACTGACGAGAGGCGTGGAGCACCCTTTGACTGCTGTTGTCAGCGTTCATAACCATTCTTCCAACCTTTTGTGCACCACCAGTGGAACAGGCTTTTTTGGCCTGCCTCGCTTTCTCTTGGGTCCAGTTGAGCGCAAGGTTGGTTGTGGCCGGGGTGGATTAATCTGTGCCGGGTCTGTTGTCAGCGGTGTCAGCGGGTGGCAAAATGCGGCCAGGCGGGCTTACGCTGCTGGCGTATATGGCGAGTGAGCCAACCCCCCTTGGTGAAGGACTTTGGGCAGTGGTCACAGGTCAATACTTGGCGCATCGTATAAGGGGGCATGGTTGGCAGTTGTCAAGAGGAGAAGATGAGTTGATGAACGTGAGAGTGAGAGTGAGAGTGAGAGTGAGTAGAGAAGGGGGTCACGGGGATGGGTGAGAATCATCATCATGCTCGCCCAGTGAAGAGGAGGCGAGCTGCGAGCTGCGCCCCCTTGGTGCTCTGTGTGGTCTCGCCTCTGATTTGGGAGCAGCGCCCTCACTCGTCACGGCGAGGTTGTCAGGTCGTTTCCATTCCGACATGGGTGTGCGACGTGTGAGAGGGGCTGTCGGGAAATGCCAACTTTCAAGGAGGATGTTATTTGTGCAGAGTGGAGGAGTGAAGAGCAGCATGGAGAGCATTGAGACGAAGTTGCTTTGATGACGTCAGAGGAACGGTGCCCAGACCCCGATCAGTCCACGTCACGTGAGGCTGCCCAGAAGATGGGAATTGCCTCCGCGGCCAAGGAATGGGGGAGAAGGGGCCACAGGTGGCCAGGTGGCCTCCCCGCCGTCGCCGCCATTTATCAACTGGGAGCGTCCGTCCTCATCTCGCTCCTCTTCTTCTTTAGCCTCTTCATCGACAACTCAAAGAGCCATCTCGACATCTCTTCATCTCTTCCCCCTTTCTCTTTACCCCCC